TATGTGCATAATAACCCATAAATAGACAACAGCATGTTGAAGGTCCGGGGGACGGGGAGTGGGGGGCGCGGGGGTCAATGAAGAAAAAAAAAGGGATATCTGAAATACTTTCAATAAAGATAAAAAAATTTTTTGAAAGTCTTTTTTTCTACTTTCACACTTGATTGATAATAGTTTGCCATTGCATAGGCTTCCAGGTTCAAAGTTATTGATCCTTAGACGGGAACTCTTCCATTATCTCGCAGTAGTGTTGTTAGAGGTGAAGATTCCATCGTTCCCTTCCTTTGCAGGTAACCTGCCTCTTCTCCTACCTCATTTGTTCTCTACGTTTACAGAGCCTCCTCCCCCATCCATCTCGGTGCCTGACTCCTCAGAGGGGAAGGCCCCAGCATGTCCTCCTCACCTCTAGCATATTTTCTTCTGTTATATCTTAGATTCCCCACAGTGTTGTTAGCCATGTTATTCAGAATATTTAACTTACCTAGTCAATCTTTTTTCTTTAATTTTCAATAACCCCTTGGTTTTTCAACCTTTTGTTTGTTCCATTTTATGGATACAATAACTAATCTCTTAAATCTTTCTGACGATAGTAGTTATAATTGCACCAAAAATTATAAACTAACAGAATGGATTAACAAGACAGATACAGGGACTAAATGAGAAAAGTGTTAACTTTACTAAGGGATAGAAAATAAATCTGAATAAAATGGGAAATAATTGAGTTCCATGTTAGGAAACTGTGGTCAAGATTCGTTTTTCCACCATTAATTGACAGGGTAAAAGCAGTGACAATTGGAGTCACATGAGGTTATTTTTAAGGGGAAGGAGTGGGTTTCAGTTATTCTGAAGTTTATTGGAAAAAACAAATGCATGACAATAGCCAAGAAAAATTGGAGGATAAAGCCAGTGTGGTGAATCTGCATCAGGTCAGACAATGTGGGAATAGCAGATCAATGGAATACATTCTTGAGCGCAGACAGGGAGCTCATTTAATTAAATGAGTTAGTTTACAATAAAGGGGCCAATAGAATAAAGAGGGAAGGGAAACATTCACCAAAGAGAGAAAGAACAGTTAGTTACCTATTTGAATTAAGTTTAATTAGATGTCCTATCACATATAATAGACTCAAACAAATTAAAGGTGGATTAGTGATTAAAAAAATTTTAAAGGATCTGGAAGGTATATAGTCATTCGTTATACTATTATTCCAACTCTTCAGTATGTTGGAAAACTTTTATAATAAAAAGTTGAATATGTCTAAAAAAAAGAAACACTGCAATGACAAAACTCAGAAATACACATATATGAATTATGTTCTGATTTCAAGATGACTGAAGGCTTTCTAAGTAGAAACCAGAGAAGTAAAAGCACGACTTGATTATATATTAAAAAGGGGGAACCTCTAAATGTAAATAAGACCATGCGGTATAAAAAAACTAAGAAATTGGGGAAATATTATAAAGTGTTGATATCCTTACTATACCAAGAGTTCTTACATATCAATAAGGAAAAACAAGCACCCAGTACAAAAATGGGCACGGGATACCTCTAAACAACTACAATGTAAGTAATAAGTATGACCAACAAACATGTGAGATGTTCAACCTCACTACTAATTGAAGAAATCCAAATACACCAAGCATGGGGTATTTTTATTGCTTATCAGATTAGCAGAGAGTCTAAAAATGATACTTAAATAGCAATATTAGCAAATGTGTGGGGGTTAAATGGGCACTCACTTTATGGATGGAGGGTCACTGCATATGCAACCTTTCTAGAAATTAATTTGGAAATATGAATCAAGAGCCTTATAAATGCTTATACCCATTGACTGAGTCACTTCACATATGGACTTTTTTTAAAATCCTCACCCAAGGTTATTTTTTCCATTGATTTTTAGAGAGAGTGAGAGGGAGGGAGGAGGAGGAGGAAGAGAGAAACATGGATGTGAGAGAGACTCATTGACCGGTTGCCTCCCACACATGCCCTGACCCAGGGTGGGGATGGGACTTGCAACCCAGGTACATGCATTTGACCAGTAATTGAACCCATGACCCTCTGGTGTACAGGCCTATGCTCTAACTACTGAGCAACTGGCCAGAGCCACACACGGACTTTTAAGACAATAATAAGTGTTATGCACAAAGATTTAGGTACATGCATGTGTTGGGTCTATGTGAATGGAAAAGTTACTGGAAAGAAAGGTACACAACACTGATCTAATTCAATAACAGAGATAAAAAATGAATAATAAAAAAAAGAAAGCAAAAAAGAAACACTTCTAGTTAACTCAGAGCTCTAAAACAGAACAGCAGAACTCAAATGAGTGGAAGTGAGGATAAGGGGAAATACCATGCCAGTTCTTTGGCAGATAGCTCTAAAATAACAAAAATAATTAATGCCTATTTTTAGCTAAGAGTCCATCCCTTACCATAAAAATAGCATCAATTTACTTCTAATTAAATTTGCTGTGTTGGGATTTTTCACGTGAGGGCACACCCTCTGAACAATAGAATGAAGGGTCACTCACTCTTCCTGGACACGAGCCGATGGTGTCACCTGCATGCTTAAGAGGAATGAGCCACGTCTCTCACTGCCAGGAATGACTATGAGGCACTTTCTCCCCCGAAGCTGTATCTGCTCCTGCAGATGTCCCACCCCCACTTCCACGTCCCTGCCTGTGAGCCATATAAGAGGGAAATCGGCCAGGCTTCCTGCGTGGGGATTAACCTGGCTCAGGGTCAGCTGGTTTGGCTCAGTGGATAGAGCGTTGGTCTGCGGACTGAAGGGTCCTGGGATCGATTCTGGTCAAGGGCACATGTCGGGGTTGCGGGCTCGATCCCCAGTAAGGGGCATGCAGGAGGCAGCCGATCAATGGTTCTCTCTCATCATTGATGTTTCCATTTCTCTCAACCTCTCCCTTTCTCTCTGAAATCAACAAAAATATATATTTTTAAAAAAGGATTAGTAATAAACTGAGGGTGCAGCCATGGCAAAGGGATTTCAACTGTGCCCCCACACCCCCATTCGTCCACAGCAAGAGTCTTAAAGAGAGTGAACTGGGCTCTGAAACACTGGCCTTAGGAGGACCCACACTCCCTCCCTCGGCAGAGGCCATGACATACCCGACTCCACGGGATAGGATAAAGGCTACGTGGCATTTTGGATTTTCTATTTGTTACCCAACATTACACTTTCCATATGCAAGCGGCAGCTGATCATACATCTGAAGATAAAGAAGTTCAGACTCCAAATCTCATGCAAGCAACACTGCATCCCGGGTGCCTGGCCGAGTCCCGCCTCTGCTTCACTCCCAGCACAGCCCTGCTCACACACCCCATCACTGGGTCTCCCTCCCCGGGTGCACCCCCGCCGTGAGCTGCTATATTTACCTGTCTACTTGTCTCTCCCCCACCAAAGGGTGCCATTCTTGAGGGCAGGGCTTACCTCTTCTCCTGTGTCCCAGAGTCCTGGACTGTGCTTAGCATTAAAAATTCTATCAATGTTTCTTGACTTGAATAACCCATCCTGACAGATGTGACGAGATGGGTTAGAAGGAGAAGGAAAACCAGCTGGTTATGAGGTGACTAATCCTCATTCTAGGGCTCAGGGACTCATTTCCCACATCACATCCAATTCCTGGCACACACCATGTGCTCAATAAATATTTTTAAATAAATACAAAGTAACAAAGACAGCACAGACAAAGTGTTTTCTCAGGCACGTCATTTCCCTCTTCTTATCCCATAGAGTGAGCACACCATCCTGAGGAGGGAAAAATGTCACCTATGTCTTGGAAGGAGGGTCAGCAGGTCACAGAGACCAGGCAAAACAACCCCCTTTCTGGAATGAACCAAGGTCTCCATGAGCAGAAGGCCCTGGTTCTTTTGATGAGTAGTAACAGTGACGTCTGTATTGTGCTTTCTGAGTTTTTTGGCACTTCCATGCGACCTCACCTGCCACCGCACCAGTGACCGCACAGAAGCCAGACCAGGTCGGCCTGAGGTGGTAGTGACGCACGGACAGTTACGTGCCTAATGCCCCTTGGCATCAAGCAGCAGAACCCCGGTTCATAGACCCCAGACTCTCGCTCCTTTTTATGATCCTGCTTCCCCCAACCGATGCTATTTATGCCAAACTGTGGGGTCAGCACACCATTCCTCTTTCGAAGCATTTCACATTGTAGAGAGGGGCATGCAGCGTCCTTAAGAAGCAGAGACACATGCAGAAACCACCACAGAACAGAAGTTTATTCTGGGAAGACTAACTGGAGGGAAGAGAGGGGCTTTTTGATGGAGAAAGACACAGAGAGGTCCCTGTGTTGCAGAACTTTGAGTTCAGTGGGAGGGCTTGACCAATCCCTATACCTTTCCTCCGACAAATAATTGTGGAAGCTCAAAGCCACATTGCCACCGTTTGCAAAGACTCTTAACCAACAAGGAACCATGGCATTTGAATGGTGTGCAATTGCCAGGTAGGTCTCAGCACATCTAACTTTGAGAAGGCGCTTCCTCAAAGGAGAGTAAAGAAAACGAACGCTGTGTCAAAGAATTACACAACAGTTATGACATAACGCTGAGGGCATTTCAATGCTCCATGGGTCCAAGGGTTTCCTTCAAATCTCGCTCCACACGGCCTTTTTCCTTTTACATACTTGGTCCCTATGGGTTAGTTAACACGAAGCCTGGATCCTTTAACAATTCATTCGTGTTTTTACGAAGGCCCTTAAATCCTCAATCATGTGCACAATCGCACTAGCAACCACCCGGCTCCGGACAACCTCGTGGGCTGGCTGGGACGTCGAGTGCCACCATGTGCAGTCACAGAACCCATGGGGGAGAGGGAGGGGTCACTGGTGGAGGAGATGAGGCTTCTAGACCTCAATCTACAGCATCATGGCCAACGCCTCAGCAAGCCCACAAGCTCAGCCGTGTCCCCAGCCAGCACCACGGACAGCGGCCGGCGCACGCCTTCTCTGGTGTGTCTGCCTTCAGCTTACCTGAATTGGGTGAGATGTGTAAACTGCTCATGTCCTTGGACAGGCCGTTGGTTTTGGGGCTGGAGATGGGTGCGCAGGCCGACGTGGCGCGGGGGGGCCTCTTCCCGGGGACCTTCACAGTGGTTCTCAGAAGGTCGATCTCTTTCCCGTGAACGTTCTGCATGTAATCCTGTTCAAACGTTAAACAGCCAAGATAGATTAAAAAGCAGACCTTCCACCAACTGGGACAAGACGTTCTAGTGGATGACATGAGCTGTAATCCTAGCCCTTTCCCCTGTGGCACATGCTCCGAAAATAAGGAGGCCCTCTTCTGCCTAGCACAGGGGGCCTCCCCGTTATACGGAAGTCGGAGCTCTGCCTCCCAGTCCTGCGCTAACCCAGATCCTGGAGAGATGAGGAGACAAAGCAGACGGGCCCATCACAGAGGACAAGAACCAGCTGTAGAAAATGAGCATGGACATGAAGTCATATTGTTTGAACTGTTGCTTATGCGACGGCACACGGGGAACCGGGCCCCTCCTGGACGGTTTACCCACAATTCCACGGAGCAGAACTATTGTGCAGTGACCTTTCTGTCTCAGAGGGCAATGCCGTTAAACATCTCGATGAGACTGAAGCTGCCTGGAGGGGGCAGTGGGGAGAAGGCCACTGAGAGCCAGGGTGAGGGGCCTGTGGGCAGATTAGGAGTTATCGACGCTTTCTTGCATTTTGGGGGGCAATGAGCCCCGTGTCTCTGTAGACATATTATGAAATCAATAGCACTCCTCAGAAGGGGATACATTCTGAACCGCTCGTGGGTGAATAACATTTCACAGGATTTAAGATTAAGCAGGAAATGGGATCAACCACTCCGTCCTTGAAGGATCTTGGTGGGTTCCCTTTAGACCATGAAGGGGAAAACCCACTAGTTTGTTTAGTGGAAGCAATCAGGTTCTTAAGGACAGCCCTCCAATGGCAGCTCTTCGTGCTGAGGCAGGACCCACAGGACCATGGGACAGACACATGGGGGAGGGGTCAGAAGCTGCACCCCAGTGGGGCCAACAGAGGGGAGTGAGCTGGGCCTGCCTCAGTGGTGCCAGCCATGCCCTCCCTGGGCTGGCCAAGCTGTGCACTTAAGCTCCAAGGGGGCTTAGGGAGGGTCACCCCAATGTCCCCGGGGCAAGCTGGTGAGGAGGGGTGGTCGGCCACGGCCACCCTGGAGGACAGTTGTGGGTTTGGGGAAGGGAGGCTGTGTCCAGCTGGGAACAGACTGAAAACTTCACATGGAGATCAAGATGCTTGGAAAACTCCCCCAAATATAACCGACTATGAAAAAAGCTGTGGGTTTGAAAGGATGTGGACCAAAGATGTAAGAAAGCTACTATCGTTAAATCAGACTGCAGGACAGGCGGACTGGCGGGAATGTAGGCAGACTCGTGGTCGAGCTCCCTGTGTTGAGGATGGGAAAAAGCACCTCAAAGAAAGTGACCTTTGGTTAGTGTAGGGCTACAAGTCAAGGTCATTAAAGAGGTCATTCTGAAGCCTATTTCATTTACTTCTATTAATACCTGCCAAAAACAGGCAAGGCCAAGTTTCAAAACCAAAGTTAAGGCTTGTAAATAATGAATTCCTTCTTGCATAGTTACTCCTTTAAAAATATCAACTTGCTATAACTTTCTTCTTTAATGCCAATTCTTAACAAATTAAAATACAATAACAGGAGTGTAATTGAGCATTTATTGCTTATGGGCTCTAAAATGAGGCTAATCAGAGAGTGACTAAGCCTCAGCAGGGCTCTTTTAATGGGCACGTTTCAACATACAATAACCAGGACATTTTATTCAAAATTATTATAGAAATCTACGCAGAGCCTACTCCTTGGGTTTGAACGCGCCGAGGGAACACATCTGTCTCGAGCCCAGCATGGGCCGGGGATCTGTTCTCTTGCCTGAGTTATTTAGGCGCTGAAACTTCACAAGAACGAGCTGGGGGGAAAATCGGAATATAAATTTGGCCATTTTTATATTTCAAGTCACCACAGTTTTTAAAAACTGTACTAAAGGCATGTCCTAAACCATAAAGGCCCCTCCAGGCGGAGCTCCGGAAACAGGTGGCGGGAGGGAGCTGCGAGAACATGGCTTCTAGCTTCTCCCGCGAGGAATGACACTGAGCTTCCTGTTTCTGAAAGAATAAACTCATCTTTTTCATCTCTCCTGGGCCTGGTACTGGAGGAATTAAAGCTACAACCACGAAACCCTGTCCCCCATCCTCTGAAGTGGGCTGTGCAGCTGGATGGGTCTGAGGCAGGGACTCCCTGGGTAAAGTAAAGACAGCAAGCTCGATTTTGATATGCAAATGCATGTTCCTTCTCCATGTTCCTTGTAGAAAATGCTGATCGAAGATAAAAGGGGAAAAAACCCTTTAACAAGGCATGAGGGTAATTCAAAGCCAAGTACTTTTAAACAGCACTTAACAAGTCCCCGGGGCCCACTCAAGAGCCAGGCCCCCCAGAGGTGCCATCTCCTGCCCCTCAACAGCTTGAAAAAGTAGTAATTGCAAACCTATTTGCATTTTTCTTCTCAAGTTGTCCATGCTCATCATGTGGATTATTTTTTCCGAGCAGGCGCTGGAGCAGAGGGACCCGTCCAGACGCGCGGATGGCTCCGCCACCGTCCTGCGTCCCCCCGCACCCAGGCTCCGCACCTTCGCCATCCCTTGTTTTTTGCATTTCGCTCCTAATTATGTTGCATCTATTGCCGTACACTTAATTAGCTGCATTAATGTGATTTCTTTTCACATAGTCAAGCAATTAAGAGCTATGATTGAGTTTCATTCAATTAGCCTCAACAAACATGCTAATTGATGTCCCAGATGCAAATGAGCTGCAGTGAGAGAAACCTGCTAGCAAGTGAGAGGAGCCCAGAGCCACAGCTTCCAGCTTGCTGCCACCTCCGTGGGGCTGCCACCAGGAGGGTCAGTCATCAGTGCCTGGGTGTACCAGGTCCCCCCACATGGAGAACTGATGGACAGGCTGCTGTCCAAGGCTGTCCTAAAACCTCACAGTTACACATCACCAGGACCGGGAGACTGTCAATTGTATAACACCGTGCTCTGCAAGGAGATGGCCCAGAGTCCACACAGAAGTACCGCAGGAGGCTGCTTAAGAAAACGCAGGCGTTCTCCCCAAAACCACCAAGGGAAGATGCGTGTGTCTCCACAGTCTATACAGTGCTCAGTAAATGGCGAGTTCATCTTAGTCAGCTCTGGGGCATCTGGCACTTCAAGTTAAGCGCAGAATACAGCAATCCATCAACAGTCCCTAAAAATACTCTTACTCCATCGATTCGCACTGCCTCCCGTCCGGACGTTACCGGTGGCTGTCTGGTGAAAGATGGTTTGCCCGATGTGTTCACAGGGGCACCGAAGGCAGTTAACAAGGAATTAAAGCTGAACTGAACTGCACGGACGGCTGGACTGGCATCTCAAAGGCAGACATGCACCGAAGGTCTACTCTCACGCACAGGTGGTGCAATCAACAACACGCCATTTTACACACACTTCCAAAAAGTATGAAGATACTTCATTTTCACAATTAAATGGTGGAAAAAATAATGGGCATCTTAGTTCCAATTAGGTTTTCCCGATAATAAATGTTGAGAAATTTAATATTTTCCATTCATATGTAATATCTCGTCTAAGTTAGATAACTTAGGACATACTGACATTTGCTTTTTTTTTACCATGGTTAATCTAATTGGGTTTTTCCTCTTTGCATTATCCACCTTAGCAGTGCTCAAATTGTGGTCCTGGAAACACTTTGGGGGTGGAGGGGGTGGGGGTTACAAGTTAAACACTATTTTTAAAACAATTCCAAGACACTGTCTGCCTTATTCACTGTGTTGAAAGTTGCTCTGACTTTGCAAAAGTGATGGTGGCTAAACCTGCGGGCTCCTTAGCACGAATGGAACCAAACTGGGCTACTTTACTCATTACTGTATTCATGGCAACCCACTTTAAATACAAACAAACAAGAACAGTCTCACTTCAAAATGTTCTTAAGAACCCCCCAAGGCCCTGGCAGGGTAGCTCAGATGGTTAGAGCATCATCCCAATATGCCAAGCTTGCGGGTTCAATACCTGGACAGGGCACATACAAGGATCACCCAATGAATGCATAAATAAGTGGAACTACAACTCTCTCTCTCTCTCTCTCTCTCTCTCTCTCTCTCTCTCTCTCCCTCCCCCTCTCTCTCTAAAATCAATTTATAAAAAGGCACCCCCCAAGTTGATTTTTAAAAAATTTCAACCCTTGAGTACATGCCTTTTTAATTTTTAATTTCCTGGGTGGGGACCTGGAAAGCACCAGAGTGTTCCGGCTGCGTCCTGAAGGCTGAGGGTTACCTTGCAGAGAAGCATCTCCACAGCTGTGAGTTGTGAGCTGAACTAGCCCCTTTTTACTTGAAAGAACGACCATGTCAGACTTTAACTACAATTACTCAGTGTTGAGTATTTGGCAGGCATTTTCTTGAAAACAGTATTTATGGCCAATGATAAAATTTGAGCTTTCCCATGACAATGAGGATTTTCAAAACCTGTATGTCTCACTATGAGCTTGACACCTTCCAAATGAGACAGATGTTACGACAACGGTGGTGGTGCTACAAATGTGATTTCTGGACACGACGGAATGAGAGTGTCACCCTTTGGAACTCTGCATACCTCAGTTACACACACCTCTGAGGTGACCGATGCATGAGCGTAAGAGGATTCAAAGTGCAAGGCAGTTCTAGGGGTTCCAATGCGGCAGAGAATGAACATTTAGTGACACGGTTTCGGATCCACACTGCATTCTGAGCTTTAGCCGCCTCCAAGAACATGCACAGTGGCCTGAAACGGCTAGCCAAAAACTCCTCCCGTTTCTAACAAAATAACTGTATCAGCAGACAGTTTCCTCAGACACTTTCACCAAAACAACATATCACAACAGATTAAAGGAAGCGCCAGCAGACAGGACAACTAGCTGTCTTTTATTAAACCGGACAGCAAAGAGCTTCGAAAAAATGCACATGACACTCCTCTTCTCACAATTTTCTTTTGGAAAGTATATTATTTATAAAACATCTTATTTATGGAATAATGTTACATAATCGATGGTTTATTATTCCTATTTTAAATTATATAACTTTCAAA